TGGCAGTGAAACGTACCTTTATGACACTATAACCCATGTGGTTGGCAGTACAAGCTGTTAGCTTTAAAAGCCTCTGGGGTTAGAATTCACATTTTAGGTAACCAATGCTTTTGGAGCAATGACTTCTTTTTAACTCGGCATCCTCACATTACTTGATGTTTAACTTTCTTAACCTTGGAGAGTAAATCTGGTGTTCCATTATCTATCAGTTAACCATATTAAACTTTGTGGTTTCTGGATCATTATTCCATCCCTACAAGTTTCTTTCATTTCAGGATGCAATTTGCATTAAATAATTAAAAGTTGTTGTTCCATTACGGCAATTATTGAAAATCATATCAAAAGCATATCAGAATTGGTTTGGAATAGATAAAGCAGACTAACTTTAAGCTTATAAAATAGCCCTCATGTTCGTATTATTTAATTAGCATGGGGTATGTTCAAAAGCCGTGTCCCAATAATACTAATACGAGTAGCTAGTAATTATGTGAGAGATTGTTCATGGTTACAAAGCAAAGAGAAAAACATTGGTTTATATGCAACTTGTTAAGAGGCATTTATTCACATTTTGTGGGGATTAGGCATGACCTGGTAAATACACAAATATAAAAAGGCTTTGCCAAGTAAGACTTAAAAAAAAAACTGCCATTTTTCATTGTACTGTTCATAAGTCATTTTTAAATGAGATGCTAGACGGTGTTGAAGTGATGTAGGGAACAACTTGTAATGCAGTGCACTATTACAGTGCAGTCAGCAAAGGAAAGAAAGAGAAAGAGACTTTTTATACATGCAGAAAAGACAGATTCCACTGCTTGGAAATTCCCTCTTGCTAAAGAAAAAATGTAAAAAAAAAAAAAAAAAAAAAGGGGGGGGGGGGGGGGGGGGGGGCGAAAGAGTAGCCTACAGGTAAACAACTTTTTTTTTTGCAGACTGTACAAATTGGTCCATAGGGTAATCTGTTTAATACTTCACAAATTTTGAAACTTCAAGCTTAGTTTTATACTGGGCTGAAACAATCTGGACTTGTGGTCAGAGGGTGGCTACAGCTGTTGAATTACCCTGTTTGTTATAAACTGTAGAGCTTGGTCGACGTCTATTTCCCCATTCTGAGATATGACATAAAGCCATCTTAGCTTATATACACGCCCCCTCGGCAAATCAGAAGTTGGAATGTTACGGGTATCTATCACAACTTTTTTTTTGCATGTAGCACTGTCATCCATTATTATTTATCATTATTACTCCCATCTCTGTGGCTTACAACTTCCTGTCTTTTACACTCACTCTCAAACTGCCAGTATCACATGTTCATTTAAATGTCACAGATCAAACCTGTTTGCATGCCTTTTTATTTTGCACAAGCCTTTGTTGAAGATCATGCACACTCTGTGCTTATTGAACTCGCATTTTTTGAGAATCCTTGTTTTTAAAATGAGTTTAAGTATTTGTCATATGATCCTATCAAACAAACTAGGAAGAGTTCAGATGCAAATTTAAACACTGAAAATAAATGGCATTCAACCCTTTCATAACTTTTATCTAAACTTTTAAATCTACAACAAGCCACTCATGTTTTTCAGAGCACATCTCAAATATGATTTGAGCTGGTAGAATAAACGTGTATTTAAACATGTACTTATGATAACTTCATGATCACTTTTTACACTTCTACAAGAAATGATGAGGTTTTGTAACTTCTTGCCTCCCCAATCATTCATATTGCATAGGGCATCCATTCAAGGTCATGTTATGTTTGAGGATTAAACTCCTCCTGACCTGTTCCATGTGTCATAATGAGCTTCAGTTGGTTCAATGTTTAATCGCTGGGGAGCATTAATCTTGCCACTCACCCATTCTGTGACTCACAAAGGTTGGAGGTTAGAAGTTGAACTCAACATAAATAAATATGCTAATAAGTCCTCAGCACTAAGTACCATCGTCCGCCACGATTAACCTCGGTATCTCTGCTGCTTTTCTTTAGCCCATTTCCCCTGCAGGTCTCTGGGAAACAAAGCTATAATTAAGTGGGTTGAAGAAATGTAATCACACTGCCACACCATTTACTGCGTCCTACAGATATGCATGTATGAATGTATGTAATTTGCTTTATTGTGGCAGGGGTTTTCACTTGCACACATTTACGCTAATTTGCTCATTTTACCCGACAGCTGGGAGAAACGTTGCAGAAAATGAGGTGTTCGTCGAATGATTGTGGAGGTGTTTCTGAGGTAGACGTATGTGTCGGGCAAGTGTTTCCATGGATACAACACTGATTTAAATTGTTTCCGTCACTAAGTTGTAAGTTATTAATTAATTTCCAGGAATTGGAGCAAATGTAGATGGTTAGAGCACGGTTCTCTTTTGTTAGAAAATGTATTAAAAAGCAAACTATGAAGAAATAGTTATATCACCAAACCTTCCTATCTGCCACAGTTAATACCATATTTTTTAATACTGGCCTTACCTTTGTCTTTAAACACTTATTGCATTACTTTGCTGCTAATCTGTGCTGGATTTTATTTCACTGGGAACAGGAACCATCATTCATCACTCCTCTAGTTATCTAAAAAAAAAAAAACAACACCTTTAAAATTTACACATGCAGCACAGTTAACAGGCTTTGGCACAAAAGGGAAAAATTGGAAGAGAAAAGAAAAATCCAACCCCTGAGTAAGCAAACATTGTGTGTTTAAGCTTGATGGCATAACTGACCAGGCCATCACTTTTTCGCTTCCTAAATAATCGGTTGACATTTCAATACGACAGTCAAACCTTTGCAGCTATAATGGCTTAAACTCTCCTGGGAAGGCAGTCCTCAAGGATTAGGAACATTTATTTTTATTACTACTATTGTTTAATCTGTAAGAAGCACATTTTTTGAGGTCATAGAAAAATGTCAAATGAGAAGACCTAGCCCTCAGTCAACATTTAATTTCCCCCAAAGGTGTTCTATCGGGCTGAGTTCCGGGTTCTCTGCAGGTCAAATTCATCTACAACTGATTCTCATCCATAGTTTAATGGGTCTTGCTTTGTGCCCCTGTCCAAGGGCATATTGGAAGAGGCAGGGGCCATTCCAAACGGTTTCCAGCAGTAGGTACAGCTTTAACAACTTTTGTTCAGTTAATCGAAACAATAATTGTTTTAATACTGTTTAACTGATATACTGTGTGCTGGAAGTCTGTCTTTTTTCCTCCTTTGTCATCAGACTATAAAAAAACATGTGAAATAATCATGAATCAGGAAAAGCAAAACTTCTGTATCAGAAAAAAACGACAGGCTTTCATGCACCTACGCAGATCTACTCTAAACAAATATTTTTCATGGACAAAAAAACTGATTTAGGGCAAATGTATAAAACCAATTGATGCCCAGATAACATGAATCCAACAGATGATATGCAGACATGACCTAGACGAATTTTAATGACCACATTAGTCTGACAAGTACAGTTCTTCTAGCACAACCAAACCCAAATTCCATCACAGATGGAGAAGCTTCAGAGACCTGTTTACCGTAACTGCTCTAGAGTCCAGTGGTGGCACGTTTCATTCCACTGCATCCGATGCGATGCATTGAACTTGGTGATATTCGCCCTGGTTTAAGCCGTTGAGACACTCAAATTAGTTGATGTCACAATGGGGGGGGGGACAAAATGGTTTAGTCAGTTTGACGGCAACCAGCAACATGGTCTGTGAGCCAAGTTTAAATAAACAGGGGTTGAGACATCATCCTCACGCTCATCATTCTCCAAAGGCATAATCCTAAATAAATAATTTAATGTTTTTTTTTTTATTATTATTTGTGTTTTTTATTACATAATTTTCCTTCAATGTCTAAGAACCAGTGATCATTACAATGGGCTCTATGCACTACTTCCTGAACTTAAGAAAGCTCTTTTGTTTTCTCTCTTTCAATACTTGATTGAACTGATTAATCCAGGTGTGTTTTGTCATTGTTACTTAGGTCAGGCACACCTGGATTAATCAGTTCATTTGGTAGAAAAAGACAGGAAACAAAAATCTGCCTTAAGTTCAAGAAGTAGTGGAGTTGTCCATTCAGCCCATTTGACCTGATTTTTGCTTAAAATCATGTTTTTTTTTGTTGTTGTTGTTTTTTAAAAGTTAAATGAATACTCCATTATCTTTTTTGTGCTCTCTTGACTCATGCAGTGGAATCAATAGAGCCCCACTGACCCAGAGTTTTGTGCTACACCCCAATGCATCCATATACATGGTCTACAACTATTTGACCAAGTTACTGTTGTTCCCAGTCATTTCCAGTTAGTAGTAATATCACCGACCATTGATGGTGATTTTTTTAGGGCAGAGGGATTGTTCTGAGCAGAATTGTTGCATAGATTGCATCCTGTCATAGAGCCATGCTGGAATTCACTGAGCTTCCTAGAGCAACCCATTATTTCACAAATGTTTATAGAAACACACAGAAAGCATTGGTCATTAATTTATTTTATAAATATAAAAAAAAAATGTCTGAATGCTCATTGACATCAAGTTCAAGCTAATTTCTGACCAATGGCCATTCTTTATAAAGGCAATTTTGAAAAAAAAACCTTACATCTATCGTTGCCATACTTCATGTGCTTCTTTTTAATTGGGCAGGTTTCAAACATCCACAAGTCCCACTAAAATATAAACCAATAACAGGACATTTAATCAGTGATGTATACAAATTAATTGTTATAACACAGAACAGGGTTTCAAGTTTCCAACGTACAGCGCTGGTTTTGACAAATTCAGTTGGAATCCCTAAAAAGAAAAAGCTTCAAATTCATCTAATATTTAGAGAAGTGGTTGCATCATTAGCTCCATAATTCTAGAAACCTCTTTCTGTCAAATACAGCTTTGACAATCCTTGAAGTCTTCCAAGTTTGTAACGGAACATACACAAGCTTTGTCATTCTCTCCAAATTTGTCACACTTTCAAGTCTGCATAATCTGTTGCAAGCCTAATTTTCTTTTGTTCTTATCCTTTGTCGGCAGGGGTGGAAGCATGTCTGCAGGCGGGGAAGTGGCTGCCTGAAGCAGAGCACGAAGCAGGAGAAGGCTCTCGTCGCAGTCGCATCAATAGATGTAGTTTGGTAAGCTTTCACCCCACAAATGCAGGCAAGAAAGACAACAAAAACATGTCAGGTCAACCTACTTTTGTCAAATGAATTTCTGAGGGTTTGCTGTCTCTCTATTTGCTAATCAAAAGCAACCAAGTCCATTCAGTTCAGATTATAGTTTAGCCTGAATATATTCTAATTATGTTACACATTGCTGTGTATCCTAAACAGTCTTTGGGATGATGGGTAAAAAGAAAAGCACTATGCCTAAAACTATGCTCGAATGAATCAAGACAGGGGAAAAAGAAATGACAAACAACTTGCAATGACTAAGGCAAAGTCATGACTTTTGTCCAAGGTAGAATTTGTGGCAGAGCCTGTAAATTGCTGCTTTCTCAACAGCAAGCAAATAGGCTGACGGAGCTTATCAGAAAAACTGAACCTCTGCTTGAGGCTGCAGTGTACCAAAATTCAATTTTCCTGTGTCCATTTTTTCAGAGATTGATGTTATAAAAGGTGTGATTTGGAAACTACAATTTACTGTGTCCAAATGACGAGTATCTGCTTTAGACATTGTAAGTTTGAGTATCTGTTAGCTTTGTAGAGTACAGGAAATTGGTTTCTGATTTTATTTTTTTAATCCAGCTTTTAGAGAGGTTTGTTAAAACTTTTCATGTCATAAATAGTATAGTGACCACCATATACTTCAGTAAAATTCATCTAAAGTATATTGTAAGAGTCTCATTACTTGAATCTTCACAATTTTATCCTTTATACCTTACAATGCTGGAGTTGTTGTGAACAGTTCTATATTTGTGTAAATCATTGCTGCTTTAAACAACAATACTAAATAGATTAGGGCTTCTTTTGAGTTCAGCATTTCTTAGAGGTTTATTTCTCCTAAACAAAAGAACTTTACTCATTCTAAAAAACACGTCAAAGACCCAAATAACACATTAACTAGAGTTTTGTTTCTCTAGCTCCCTCCACTCTTCGACGGCTGTTTCTTCTTCCTCCACGGCTCCTTCAAGGGGCTGACCAAAGATGAGCTGGCCAAGCTGTTGCGCGAAGGAGGCGGACAACTTCTGAGCCGACAGCCGAAGCCAGACAGTGACGTGACACAGACACTGAATGCAGCAGCCTACCATGCCGAGCCAGGCTCTGACCAGGCCCTTTGCACCCAGTACATCATCTACGACCCACAGGGAAACTACAAGCCAGCAGTTGTCAGGCGAGGGAAGGTGTGGTCGGCTCCTTCTACCTGGATCATCGACTGCATCTCATCCTTCAGCCTTCTCCCTGTACCTCAGCCTTAAATAAAGATCATGGCCCTGCATACATTTTCCTTAATTTTAGCTTGTAGTATTTTGTTGAATCGTGGCACAAATGTACTTTTTTTTATGTTGTCTAAAATAACAGCGTTTCATTTTATGATCTGATCTGGGCAGAAAATATCACACGGACACTAATCAAAGTTGTTTTTCTGTACAGCATATAGGATCTAGCAAAGGCTGCTTTCAGTGCATCAAAGGAATCCCATAACTAATTATAAAGAAAAAAAAATCTAATCAAGCAAACACCTAATATACATGGTTGTGTTTTCAGAATATTAAAGACATTATGTAGGGGAGTTGTGTGATTGTATGTTACATTATCTGAATAAATAACATGGTTATAATCCTATAGTGTATTTGTTGTTCTTTAATTTACTTTTCAGATGGAGCAAGTAGAAATGCAAAATAAGCAAATATAATTTAATTCCTAAGATGACCATAAGAGAAGGATAGAGAAACAGCATCCACACCATCTTACTTTAGGAAAGATTTTATATGATTAGAAGGGGTTTGAAACAACACAAACGAAATTGAACTGCTGCTTATCTCCTGGCTAATCGCATCCAAATGCATCACTCTTTAATTTAAAAAAACAAAAACAAAAGACTTCTCTGTAAAGGGAAAATGCAGGTGTATCCTGTGAGAAGAGTTTGGTAGGAATTGATGACTTATAATTAATGAGAATTAGAATTAAAATGTTTTTAGATCTTTTGCTAAATAGATGAAAGTACTTATTTGGATTTTCTTTAGAGCTATCATAGTAAAGAAGGCAGATTGCAGACTATGATAAAGATTATGTTTCCCTGGACAAAAGACGACAAAAAAGGGAAGACAAACTTTGTGTTTGCTGAATGCCAGTGTAATGATGTTTTTGTTTAGATTTATTTTTGTACTTTCCTGAAATTGTGCATTTTACATACTATAAAATTACTATACTGCTTGAAATATTTGGGAAAGGCCAGGTTATATCGATGGGTTTGTAAACCTCTGAATAATTCAAAACTATTAAGTTACTTTAGGCACACTCGTAGATTAATTTGAAGGCACATATTAGATTGCTTCCTTGGGTTGCATCTTGTAAATATCAAAAGGAGTTATAAGGAAAAGAACTGAAGAGAAGTCTGGTTCTTCGAATGTTCAGGTACCTTCATAGAACACTGCCCATAGTACACAGAGGTCACCATAGATTTGCAGAATCAATAGCTACAGACCTCTAAACATCATTGGGAATTCAGAGACGTTGACTAGAGAGCCTAATGGAATAGATTTCCATGCTTCATCCAACCTATATATCACCAAGTGCAATGTAATGTGTCAGAGGCAGTGTTGTAAAGCAGTGGTTTTCAAATTCTGGACTCACTGTCCTGCATGATTTAGATGTATCTCTGCTACAGTACACCACCTGTATGAAAATGGTTGTATCCCCTCCTCAGCAGCCGTTGCTGGGCGTCCTAATCACCTATTTATTTAAGTCAGGTGTGTGGAGCTGTGAAATACCTAAAGCATGCAGAACAGTGGGTCCAAAACCACTGCTTCAAAGTATGCAGCCACTGGACCATAGAGAAGCAGAGTTGCAGTTTCTGGAATGATGAATCCAGATTCTCCATCTACCAAATGGGTGGCCATGTTTGTGTTTGACTGATGCCAGAAGATTAGTACTTGTCTGATTGTGTGTATATATATATATATATATACAATGCAACACTTTTGGTTTTGCTCCTATTTTTTGAGATTACCTCAAAAGATCTAAAACTTTTTCCACATCCACAATATAACCATTTTTTCTCAAATATTGTTCACCAACAAGTCTAAATCTGTTATAATGAGCACTATAATGAGCATAATACATCCCACCTCACAGGTGTGCCATATCAAGATGCTGATTAGACACCATGATTAGTGCACAGGTGTGCCTCAGACTGCTTTGGTTCAGTTGAACTTTCAGAGTTAACAAAACTATTATTATCATCTAAGCATTCAACTTGTATTTTAGATACAACTAGGTTATTTAGGGAAGTATTCCCTCTGATTCACGCCTCCATTTTAGATGTGATTAATATATCCCTGTTACAGCGATATGTACCAAAGGATGACTTTGTCAATTATAGACCTATATCAGATCTTCCTTTCTCATCTAAAATTCTTAATAAAGCAGTTGCCAAACAAGTGCGTGACCACTTACACCACAATGAACTTTTTAAAGAGGTCATAGAATGATTATATAGGGTATTTGGTGTTGGTCCTTAAGGTCTCTGAATAAGGTGTGTAACATCAGTTGGAATGACAATGGCATATTTGCTTTTCTATGCGCCCTAATGCAAGCCTGGTTAAAAGCCCTAGAACGGGGGTTGGCAACCTGTGGCTCCGGAGCCTCATCCGGCTCTTTGGCCTCCCCCTTGCGGCTCCCTCCAGCTTTTTCAAAAATTTATGAAAATAAATTTTTTTTTTCTTGTTGTTTGTTTTGATATGGTGTGCAGGAGATTAAAGAAAATTAATTATCTTTTCCAATGCTGAAAATATTTGTATAATAAATACATTTAAACAATAACTTGCATCATAGCCATAGAAATCAGTGGTTATAACTTGCAACCAATGTGGCGCAGTGCCAGGCAAACAAAGCTGCAGGTGTGTCTTGCATTTTTGCTTTATAATAAGAGGTTGTCAAAAAATAAAAAGAAAAATTTGGAAAGGCATTTCCACGGAAGGCTAAATATGCAGCTGACCACCAAGCTGGGAGTGAGAGAAAAGTGTGATTGCAGAACTTTTGGATAAATTAGAGGAGCGCAAAGATAGATTTAAGAAATGGATTGCATCTCCAAACTCCACTACTGCTGCTAGTTTTGTTGCAAGGATGGAAAAACGCCCACAGACAAGTAGCGCTCTGATGCAGGTTTGTGAACTTACTTCCATTTTTCCCCCAAATCCTCAAAATTAAAAATCACCAAGGAGCGCTAGTGACGGAGGATGTGGGATTTCAGGGTTAGGGGGCTCTGCTCTGATGGATGTCAGTTCCTGCTTGGTTTCTATTAACTCAATCAACTCCTCCCAACAGAAACAAATCCACCATAGAAAAATTCCTTTATTTTGTTTCTATCATTTCATCAATGCAACAAAACTTAAACCGCACGGTGAAGGGTGGTGAAGAGCGTTCACTGCTCCACCCGCACCTCATGCTGTGACATTTGCTCCAGGATAAACATTTAATCGTGAATGCTTATTATGTATTTAAGCCCACATTATCCTTTTCTATAGTGGGATAATAAACTTAGAGCCCATGTTGCCATAAGAGGCATATATAAGACTATATATAAGAAGGTTTTTTGGTCCAATATGGCTCTTTGAGCAGTTTGGGTTGCCGACCCCCTCTCTAGAATGAAACTACAGGTTTTCTTCCTTTTATAGTATGCTCATGAATATTAGATGAGCTGTGCGCTGATTGGTTGGTTTACGACGAGCGAAGTTTCTCAGCTTGATATATACATAGCAACAAGCACTCACTCACTGAAACATCGAAATTGTTGATATGGTAGGGTGACCAGACATACTCTTTTTCCTGGACATGTCCTATTTTTCATATCTAAAAAATGTCCAGGGGGATTTCAAAATCGTATTTTAGTTGACTACAGTGCTGCACGTAGTTGAACCACAACGGGTACTCAAACCGAGCCGTCAGCTCCGGGGCTGGGTCCGGTCCAGTCAGCGGCTCAGCAGTCGACATTTCATACCCCCAACCCCCAAAAAAGTGTCCTCCTTTTCAGAAACCCAAATGTAGACACCCCAGACATGCTAGCATTGCTATCAACAGCTTAGTCATAAAATAATACTTAAAGCTTGCGGTTGTGATGGCCTTACGGTCTGAACAGTCCCTTGTTTCAGTAAAAGAGGTTTAGCAAATCCTGCTTTGAACTGTCCAAGAAAGCTATTCTTCGGTAACATGCTTAGAACAAAAGAACACCTGAGCATCAAACTTTTTGCAGGGATCTTCTCATAGCCCAAATAATCCATGCCTGTCGAGTATTCGGATCCTTAGGAAGACTGTGAAAATGTTCCCCGTCCTCCTTGCAGGCTGGAACACTGCATTTATGCCCGTGGTTTTGGCTCATTTTCAATAGAGAAACTGCCTGATATGTAATTCTTGTACAAGTAAACCCAACTGTAGACTAAACAGCTAAACTAGTGTCTTACATCTTCGTGACATCTATTCATTTTCTTGGGCCAGTGAACCAGTGGGCTGGTCTGTATGTAAATTTCAGGGCATGACAAAAGCACAGGCCAGAACCAAATAAGGCACCATCCCAGAGTTTGCGTAAATTCAGGGCTTCGTTTGGATTCGCCCATTTTATGGTGGAAGTTTGAAATTGTGAGATTTACATAGAAAGGAGGTGCCGATGGGGTTTGAACTTCTCTGTACGTCCATTTCACCCACTGAACAATCGTTATTTATCTATGACAATGTAAACTGGGTTTACATTGTCAGTTAATGGACTTGTATCTGTACTTGTCCTGTTAGATAGCAGTTTTGGAGAGATAGGTAGAATAGATATTTTACATGTATTGTTTGTCTTTTATTTGAGTGAATCTTTCTTATTTAACAGCTGATAGTTAATGAGTTCTGAACGAAATGCTGTATAGTACGGAACCGGATATCCTGTAACGGCTGAATTAACCCATGCTTTCCATCATCAACATATTTCAATGCATTTCTGTGTTTTTTTTTTCACTATAAAACTGGTAGAAACTTAATTGTTTTGATTCCATTTAATATCTCTGCATCAAAGTTATTTACATTTATATGCTGCTATTTTAAAGGACACCTTGAATGCATTACGCCTAAAAACTTAAACATAGACTAAGAATATTGTAGAATAAGCAAATTACAGTTATACTCATTCAACCAATAATCATTAATGTTTTTTTTTTCCAATTTGAATTACCTATTAATTAGATATGATTTCCAGTTCTATTTATTTAAAATATAAATAATCTTCTGGTAATCTAGAAAAACACATTGCGGGATTTACAGTAGTACATTTTATCATGAATTCTTTTAGACAGACTTGAATCTTTGTAGAAAGTAAGGGAGCTGCCAAAGGCTGGTTTAAATCTTATTATTTAACTGACAGATTTCATTTTGTTCACGCTAATGAAAAATCTTCCTCATCCTCCAGAGATTTTATTTCTCCTATCTTAGCTGCTCTTCATTGGCTTCATGTCAAATCTGGAAATGGAATTTAAAACCTCCTTCTCACATATGGGTGTAGTGGAGGATTTTCTTTTTCTGGATGGATCATCTAAATAAGTGGTCCACCTAATTGTCAATCATTCTGGTAATACATTTACGTA